CACCGTGGAGATTGCAGCTTGAGCAGCAGCCATCGATTTGGAGGTCCTGCAGGAAACGAAAGACTGGGAATCGAGAATGACGAGTGCTGGGAGCAGGGCTCTCGCTAGGTTTTGGGCCTGTCTGACAGTATGTGTAAAAAAAAAAAATCGTCTTACGCTCAGATTGGCGTTTTTTTTTTTTTGTCTGACCTGTAAGATGAAACATTAAAACCAGTCTGAAATGACAGATGAACAATTCTACGAAGCCTACACCACTGTACAAGAATTCTACACACTACAGAATAAAAACTAGGTATCATTAAACCATTCTACGGTTTAGTCAGACTCGCTGCCACTATCATCATCACTACAGCTGCCTAGGCTATCAGACGGCACTGGAATAGGGTAGTTAGCTTTTCCCTTGCGACTGAGCCATGGGAACTCAGCATCCAGCCTGGCTGCTTCTGCTACTGCTGCTCCTTCTCGTGCTGCTGCCTCTGCCGCTGCCACAGCAGCTGCTGCTACTGCTACTGCCTCTGCTGCTGCTGTGGATCTTTTTTTATTGCGCTTGCTCTCCCTCTCCACTCCCGGCAGCAGCATATCCTTTGCAGACCTCCTCTTCTTCGACTTGTGCCACCGCGCCACCAACTCGGGCCACTCCATGTCGTAGGTCAAAAGAGACACGGTCATGAGCTCACCAAGCTTGGCGTCGCACAGGTTCCCTCTCAGCCAGCTCTTGATCACGTTTTGTCTCGAGAATCCGCGTTCACACTCCACAGTGCTCAGCGGGAGCACAGCTACAGCGATCCACAGGCGGACAATGTTGGGGTAGCTCGTTGTCCAGTCCGGTGAGCTCAGCATGTGCCTCAGGCCCTCTGCAAAGCCGACATCCTCTTGGTGAGTGCTCATGATTGTCGCGAAGGTGTTGAGTTCCCGCTGTGCTTTGGCCCAGTCCACACCTGTAAGAATGGGCAGGCGAAGGTAGAGAAACGCGTGAGACTGATTATATATATTCACAGACGCGGATAATCATTTTAAATAACCAAACAACCTCACGACAAAAGGCTTAACACACCTGGCAGAGTGTCAGGATCGTCGGGATGCTTCTTGTACAAGTCGCGCAGAGACTGCAGCCACTGCGCCAGCCGCCGCTCGCGCTTTGCCGCGGACTTCGGGTACTGGGACTTCTTGAACAGCTTCGCCCCATTGAGCGACGCGAGATCCTCCAGTCGGTAGTCGAGCTGCTTAATCAGCTCAACCACGAACTCCCGCCCGAGCTTCAAGCAGGCGCTGAGGTCGCCTTTGCTCTTCTGCCCCACGATAGCCTCTTCGTGCAGCAAGTAACTGTGAGGTGTCGGCGCTCCGGTGGAATCTGGGGCATCGACCTTCACCTCCCGGCACTCCTCCGAAGCATGTTTTGCCAGGAATGGCCCCAACGCCGCGCCGCCTTGCCCGAAAGTCTCGTCGTTGCTGTCGAGGTAACGCGTCCGCAGCAGTAGTGTTGTGTTGTGTACCGTCTGCAGCACATGGGTGGCGTCAATCTGCATAAGCACAACGCAGAAAGGAGTTAGAATGTTACCAAACAAAACGGGAGGTTTAAAGCGCAAACATCAACACGTACCTGTCGTGTCTGGAACTTCAAGTTGAGCAGGTTCAGCTCCTTCAGCACATCGGCCAGCAAGTAGAGTAAGAAGTGAAATTTGAAACTCGTCACTGTCTTATACATCTTCTTGTCGAATTCCTGCAGGACGATCACAACAGCAGGGAACACCGCGACGAGTCGCTGGATCGCATTGCCTCGGGAAAGCCACCTCACGTCCTTTATCCCCTGCATCTCGAGATGCGTCTCGCAAATGACCTCCTGGAGCTCCTTGAATCGCGTGTGAACAACGAGGCGCCCGAGAATGTCGACCACTGAGCGGACAGCCTTGTCCACAATCTGAAGGTCAGGATACGCGGCTGCTGCATCTTTAGCTGCCAGCGCCTCCCTGCAAGTTTAAACAGAAAAGAAGTCAGTACACGGTTGATACGCGCATCAATAAACAACCCGGACGAACTCACCTGTGTGCGACACAGTGACACGAAACGAGATGAGGAACCTTGGCGCGCAGGCGCGCGACCAGCCCGTTGTGCTGTCCAGTCATCACTGAAGCGCCGTCCGTGCTCATACCGGAGATGCGCTGCAGATCGATCCCCGTTGTCTCAAAATGCGTCAGCAGGCCCGTCAGCAGCGAGGCGACATCACACTGCTCGACCGACAGCAGGGTGTAGAACTCCGTGACTGGAAGGTTTTCGCGCAGGAATGTCAGGTAGACGATCATATACTTCCCGCGCCTTCGGTCCGTGCTCTCGTCCAGCTGGATCCCGAGGTAGGGGCTGGCGCGGATGTACTGCAGCTGACGGGACCGCAGGTATGACACCATGGTCGCCACGAGCTGAGCGAAACCATACCTGCAACGCATAAACATGAATAGCCCTTAGATTTGTGGAGCAGCAACACAGACATGCGGGGTACAATATCTTACTCGCTGTAATAAGTGCCATTCTCCTTCAAGGGCATGTCCGGCGTGCCCTGCTCAGCCATGAATTGCACAAGAGCAACGAACAGCACAATAGGGGCGTCAGATTTGCATACGAATAATGCGATTGCCATTAGTTTAGCAATTCGCCTGGCGTCGTCGTCCCCCTTGTCGTAAGCGACGAAGGACTGCTGCCCTTTCTTCAGGCCATCACGTTGTTCCTTCTGCAGGACCGCCGCCTCGTGCTTCACGCTGAAATGATGCTTGCGCATCGTCTGCTTCTGAATGTCGAGGCCGCCCTCACCATAACGGCCGTACTTGTAGTGCGGGTCCCCGAACACCATACAGACGCTGCAGCGCATGCAAGGTCGCCCGTCCTTCGTCTCACTAATGAAGAGCCACGGGAAGTAGCGAAGCCACTGCTCCTTACACTTCAGCTGCAGCTCTTCCACAGTCAGCGGCCGACGTCCCTTAGTAGTGCCCTTCTCCTCGGCATCGTCATCGTCGTCGGTGGATTGACGCGTCGCAGGCGGGACCGTCTCCGATGGCGCGGGAAATGTCGGACCTGCGGGACGGGCAAAGTTAAGCCACCGCTGCTTGTATTTAGCTTTCACAGAAGCCCTGTCAGGGAGCACAGGGTTAGCCCGTAGATTGGAGGTTGTTGCAACTGAAACGACGGGGCGGATGGATTCACGGCCAGACGCTGGTATACTCGTCGACGTGGGCGTGGTAGTCTTGGGCATGCCACCGTCCGCATTTTCTTCAGCCACAGTGTCTGGGGAGGCGTCGTCTGTTGGTATAACCCGGGTTGAGCACGAGGCAACGGGGGGTGCAACGACGGGGATCGACTTGCCCCGTGTGAGAAAATGTAGTGCTGAGACTCTAGGGGGGTCTTTCTCCTCTGAAATGGCCATCAGATGGTATGGTGAAAGTAGAAAACTGCACTGCGGGGCTAGTCGAGTGCAGCGGAAGAAATGGATGTAGAAGATGGAGGGTGTGCCTCCAGTTTGGTCCCTCAAACCCTCGTCTCGTAGCGCGTCAGAGTGATGCGCGATGCGGGTGTGGGCGGGGAACCACAGTTACGTGCATCCGTGATGCATACAGGTCACCCCATTGCACAAAATGACAGTGTCGGTGCATGGGTGTGGCTGGCATCGGCGCCGACACCCAAGCAGCGACGAAGTCCTGGCAGCATTGCACATAGTTAACTGCTACCAGCAGTGCTGTATCCTCCAGCGCGGATGCTATGGGACAGTAGCATTCATTACGCATGCCTGTATACAGGCTCGCAGACACCCGAACTAGTGGCCCTATGGACAACAGAGCAGAAATGTCGGTTTCAGACGGAATCGTACTCCTTATCTGGAGTCTCAGATGAAAAATAGTATGCGATCTGAAAATGTATCTGAAGTAAAATCCTTACTGATCATCTGGAAAAAAAAGTACAGTCTTACAGATCATCTGAAGTTAGAAAATTAAGTCTGAAACGCAGACCATTAGACCAAATTGGTCTGCTAACGAGGTCCCTGCTTGTTATGTCTTGAGATAGTGAATATATGGACCATATTTACCGGTAGTGCACCTTCAGGATCATGACAAGCTGTTTGTACACTGTTTGATTTACTGAAGAGAATGCAGGTGTTCTGGTTTGGAAGTATTGCTAAGAGTATACAATGAAATGAAACACATGAACATGACTCAGGATAATCAGAACTGGTTCACAAAAGGATAAACAGTTTGCATCACGGAAGAATGCATTGGTGATTAGCATTGATGAACGGTGCTAATCGGGGCATCTTTCCGAATTCTTGCCATGGCTGGAAAAGCGCCACACATCAATGGTACTACAATGAATCTCAGGATTATCAGAACTGGTTCACAAAAGGAGTCTAATGAAAATGAAACATTGGTGATTAGCATGGATGAACGGTGCTACGGTAATTGAAGCATCTTTCCGAATTCTCGCCATGGCTGAAAAAGCGCCAGACATCTCGGCAGAGAGCGCAGCGGCGGAGAGCAGTGGGCACAAGCTAAGGCGTCCTGTCCGTCCGCACATATGTGAAGTTGAATCTCGCGTTTCGAAGCCAGTTGTAAACCAGCGAGAATGACCCGCCCTAAGCGTTCCTTGATCTGGAAGAAACCCGAGCGTGCTAGTGAGCCAGAGAGGAGGCATCGCATGGCAGTAAGAATCGCTCTTCGCGCTGTCGCGAGCAATCGCACGATACACGGTAGAGAGGGTCGACCCGATGCTAGCCATTGGTGTATGGGAGTGCTGCGTAATGCGCTACCTAGTGCGCTGCCTAATGCGTTGCGTCATGCGCTGCCTACGACGCTACCTACCGTAGCAATGCGCTTCTGCTACTGCTTCTGACAGCCGCCGCGGGGACGTGGACGGTTTCGCCGAGATCGCACACGGGCTTCGCCGGCGTCGCCGTCGTCGTCGCAGCGGGGCGGCCGTCGCAGCAAGGCAGCGTGTTCGAGTGCGACGAGTCGCAGGCCGCCATGTACTCCGCGTCGTTCGATCCCTGTACTCCCCCTCCCCACTTCTCTCCTTTTCGCCCTTCCCCGGAACGCTCCTCGTGGGGATGCCCGGAACGCTCCTCGTGGGGATGCCCGGAACGCTCCTCGTGGGGATGCCCGGAACGCTCCTCGTGTGGCAACCAAAGGCGATTTGGATTTCTTTGTCCCTCCCCTTCCGGTATCGATCTGTCTAGCTCTGACATTCTTGAATCTTCTTCTGCGGATGCGCGCCTACTCTCACTCACCTCCTCTCGCGCTATCCAGCTCTCTCGTCCCTCCCCCACCCCCTTCTCCTTCTCGTCACGCGCGCCTGCACCTGATTCCCCCATTCACTCCCGCTCCCCCCTTCTCCCCCTCTTCCCCCCTCCCTCTGCTCCTTCCTCCGCGTCCTCCCCCCAGCCGCGGCTCCATGCGCGCGGTACCTCGCAATAGCGCTGAGACAAGCGCGCCTCCTCCTAGCCACCCCTGTTCCCCCGTATTCTCCCTCCCTCCGCTCCCCCCGCACCTTTTCCCCCCTCCTCCGCCAGCCGCGGCGCCATCCGCGGCGCCATCCGCGCGGCCGTGGGGAATCTCTGGGAGCAGCTGAGCAAGGCGCGCCTCCACCTGGCGGAAGCCATGGCTCTAGCGCGCCACTGGGGCGCACGCTCGTGCTGCCACGTGTCTGTAGCAGCCGCATCGGCGGCAACAACCCGCCACGTGGCATGCTCCCCGCGTGCGCGTATTTTGACTCGGTGCTGATGGGGCGGTTCGTGCCGTGGGTGCGCGAGGAGTACCTCTGGCGGACAGTGGTGCCCTGGGGCGCGGGGATGGGGACGCGGGGGAAGGGGATGGGGACGCGGGGGAAGGGGATGGGGACGCGGGGGAAGGGGATGGGGACGCGGGGGAAGGGGATGGGGACGCGGGGAAACGGGCAGGAGGAGGAGAAGGGGAAGGAGGCGGAGGAGGGGTACGAGGGGAAGAAGGAGAAGGGAGAGGAGGTGGAGGAGGCGAGGGAAGGGGGTGGAGGAGCGGCACGGTTCTCCTGGATGACTTGAGAGGGCAGCGATGCAACCTGGTGCGCTGCCACTGTGAGATGCCGTGGTGGTGGGTGAAGCAGCGGAGGAGACGAGGCACAGGAGAAGGAATTTGAGGGTCAGGAGAGGGGACGAAGCGAAGCGAATATCCCTTCACCCCTCTACCCTCTCTCTCTCTCTCTCCCCTATTCTTTCCTCCTTTCCCGACTTTACCTCCCTCCCCCTCCCTTTCCCCTCTTCTTCCCACCCTTCCGCTCTCCCTACTCCCACCCTCCCCTCCTCCCCTCTTTCAGGCAGAATTAGCCAAAGAGCACCTAGCATACGCGCCGCACCTGCTCCGACTAGCCTCCTCCTTCGCAGCCCAGCACCTGGGGGGAGGCCAGTACGTGGCGGCCCACTGGCGGATAGAGAAGGCCATGATGAGCCACCGGTCGCCCGTGCAGCTGAGCCGCATGGGGAATAGCCCACACACCATGCACTCGCCAACCCCCCCCCCCCCCCCCCCCCCCCCCCCCCCCCCCCCCGGCACCTCCCACTGCCTTCCACCCTCTCCTTCTCCCTCCCTCCCTTCCTCCCCCTCTTCAGGCGGAGTTAGCGAAGCAACACCTAGCATACGCGCCTCACCTGCACCGGCTGGCCTCCTGAGGAGCAGGCGGTGCAGCACCTGAACGGCGGGCGGTACGTGGCAGCGCACTGGCGCGTGGAGAAGGCGATGATGAGCCACCGGTCGCCCGTGCGCATGCACCTGTGCGTGCAGTGGCTGCTTAGAGAAACGGCGGCGTGGCCGCTCCAAGAGAAAGAGAGAGGAGCGATGGTGGGGGAGAGCGGAGGGAGCGTAGAGGGAGGAGGTGGGGGAGAAGGGGAAAAGGTACCGGTGTTTATGGCTACGGATCTGACTCCGGAGAACAAGTGAGCAGTGGGGGCAATCCGGAGGTAAAGTGTGAACGCGTTCTTCTCGTTTGGAGGGAGTGGAAGGAGGCAAGGCGGGGTGAAGGGCGTGGCGGAAATGAAGGTAGGTAGCCCTGTTTCTGGTCAGCGTTTTCCCTTATCCATCCGTTCGATCAATCTTTCGCCCTCTCTTCCTTCCCGCCTCTCTCCCTTGTTCCATCTATCCCACCCTCTCTCCTCTCCCTTTGCTCGTTCCCTCTCTCCCTCCCTCCCTCCCTCCCTCCTTCCTCTTACCCGCATGCAACCAGGTGGCTATCAGGCACGGCACGATTCGACCAGCACCATCAGGACGTTGCAATTTACGCCGTCAGAGCCACCTCCCCTCCATTGCACGTGTTTTCTGAGCGTTCTATTCTCAGAAACCCTCCACACACATCACGTCTTCATAAGCAGCAGCACCAGGGCATTGCAATGCATATTCATGCCGCCAAGATCGGCACAGCAGCCCCGACCCACCCCTTTCAACAGCACGCAGGGTTGCATTCAAATGGTTACCCTACTCTCTGTGCCCCATGCCATCTCTCTGCAGCAATATTACTCTTAGCTTCCAGCATGTAGCAAGCTACTGTCCCTTTCGTCCCCTCGTCTCGTCTGTCCCCCTCGTCCCCTCTTCCGTCCCTCGTCCACTCTCCTCTCTGTCGACCGTGCCCCGGTCCCACCCGGCCCAACCTATCACCCCTCCCATCCTCCCCAGGAACTCTACTCCCTGCTTAAGCCCACTCGGCTCGAGTCCTTTCTCCCCGGTTTGAGAGAGGCGGATCTTGGAGTGCAGGTATGCGCCTCTAGTCGATCATTAGTGGCCTTGGAGAGACGGAAGGGATGCTTACACTGGAGTGCAGTCTCGTAGCTTCCATCAAATGGAGTGCACTGTCAGACTCCATTGCTCATCGTGACCCCAAAGGATCATCTAGAAACGTGTGGATGATCGGAGGCTGCAAAAGATTATCAAGACTTGAGAAACCCTCGGAGTTGTGGTTTGCCATCTTCTCATACTAACACAAAGCATCACACAATCATCCCAAGCCCTGACTCTCTCTCATCTCATCCGGCCTTTCCTCCATACATCTCCGTCCGTCCATATCTCCCTCTTCTGATCTACCTTCTCCCAATTTTCATCTCGTTCTTGATGAGCCAAGCGTTCCTCTTCAACTCTTCCCCCTCCCATGAACTTGCGCCCCTCTCTCACCCCCCCCACCAGGCCATATTGGACAAGCTGCTGTGCACCAAGGCAGCAGTGTTTTTCGTACCGTATTCTCCCGGATAAAACACCCTAGGGTATTATGAAAACCACTGGAAAAAAATGGGGGGGGGTCTCCTCAAAGGAAAATCCTATATAATACCCGGGTCTTATGATATGGTATATTTTTTGATAAAACAGAAAAGATGTGAAACATAATCAGGGGTCTGACTTCACTTCAAGATTGTTGATCAATGCCGCAAAACCGAGTACGAGGATATTGTGGGCCACTTGGGCCACTTCACCTCTTGGACCACTTGCAGTGGAAGATTCGCCAGCGTGGCGACAGCGAGATTTTGGGATTCACCAGCGTGGCGACAGGCGAGATTGTGGGAGGGGGGATATCTCGGCTGATTCTAAGTGAAAGTACATGCGAAATTTCTTCTAGGGAGTGATTTTCGCGATATCCTCCCGTAAGGAATCGGACTCGATAACAGCTCTAATAGGAATTTATAAGAAAAGGGGGGTGTTATAGAGAATCACTAACGGGGTCGGATATAACACCCACCCCGTATAAGCTACCCGGGGGTGTACAATTACGGGGGGGTGTTTTATCCGGGAGAATACGGTACTTGCCACTCAACTGCAGAAACTCACATCCCCATGTATGGCCCTTCCCTCTTCCTCTTCCCTCCCGCCCCCTCACACCCCACCAGGCCATATTGGACAAGCTGCTGTGCATAAGGGCGACGGTGTTCCTGTACCCGCCAGTCAGCTGCAGGAACTACGTGCCCACAGGGAGTGGCTCCGCAGTTGCAGATGAGATCTGCTGGTGGCGCGAGCACCTAGCGCAGCAGCGGAATATGAGCAGGGGAGGGGAAGGTCGGACCGTTTGCAGGATGTGGGGGGCAGATTTTGATTTGGCAGCAGGGGAAGGAGGGCGGGGGAAGAAGTGGCGGGTCAGGATGTGGGGGGGAGGGGGTGTTGATTTGGCAGCATCAGGGGGGTGGGAGCAGGGGAAGAAGCGGTTGCACAGGATGTGGAGGGGCGCCATTGATCCTCTAGTGTGATGTGGTGTTTTAGTGTCCTCTCCACTGGTTTGTTTGGAACATACGTAGTTGCTATGTTATCACCACACCTTAATTATCATCAAGGTCTGATACTTCTTGTATTTCCTATCTGACAGTGGTCAATTATGTATATACGGTAGAAACTTTGTCTGAGCTTGAAAAGCTTGCAATGAGACAATCTGCGGAAAAAAAAAAAAAAAAAAAAAAAAATCTCCAAGCTCCCAGGTATAGGTACACCCCAAGCACTACCTAGGTATGGTATTTGAATCAGCCAAACACACTAAGAGAGTATCACACCATGGTCACCGTTGAATCCACTCATTAGCACGAATATTTGTCTGATCCAGGTCAATGCGGATTGACACGGCCTGCACAGAATCGAGGCGCGCCAGCAAAATTAGTCCCATGAGACATCTGACTGACGCCAGCAATAATATTCAGGTACAATACACCAGAGGGCACAGTACACTTCTCACCTTCCCTGTGCGAGGCCTTTCCTTGGTGGCAGCCAGGCCTGCCCTGACCAACCCCACGGCCCCCCAGCACCTCAGGTTCTCTGCAACTCTGTCCAGCCTATACAAGTACTCCTCCTTTGTCAGGGGAAAGGATTTCTGGTAGGTATGTGAAAAGGCAAATGCAGGAACCGAAGGGCAAGGAAGGGCAAGACGTTTAGATGTGGGAGCCTACTCCCTGGAGGGGACAGAGGGTGTGTGTGTGTGTGTGAGAAAGAGAGAGAGAGAGAGAGAGAGAGAGAGAGAGAGAGAGAGAGAGAGAGAGAGAGAGAGAGAGAGAGAGAGAGAGAGGGAGGGAGATTGATAGCGGAAGAACAAAAAGAGGGTCGGGGAAACCGAAGAGGGGATACCAGTAAGGGAGGGATAGAGGTTGGAGGCCAGGGTGGAAGAGGATTGACGCTGAGCATGACGCAGCAACGAACCTGCTCTCGGTACTTCCACATGACGTTCATGGCAAGCAGTTGACGGCCCAAGAATTCCTGCCAGGAACGTTCAGGGGGGCAAGGCAAGGCAGATTGCGGACGGAGACTTGCGGACGAAGGGCGTTCATACTATTGTGCGGCGCTCATGGCAGATTGACTTGGCGCTAAAAGGGTGCAGCAAAGAATGGCCACGCGAGACGCACAGGAGCCAGCAATCCAGGTAACATTTTTCAACCACAAAGCAGCGACTCTGGGGAAAAGCGATCCCTGGCATTTCTAATTGTCGGCTCACCTTTCTAATGAGCTGCACGTCGTACGAGCGGGAGTATTTCTGGTAAATCAGCGCCGCTTGCTGCTTGAAATGAGACGAGATTTGAGCCTTCTCAGTACATGAGCGACTCACCTTGCGAATGAGCTGCACGTCGTACGAGCGCGAGTACTTCTGGTAGATGAGCGCCGCCAGCTGCTTGCCGTCGAAGCTGTCGTCGTCTCGGTTCACGAGGCCCTCCATGCGCTGACGGAATTCGTCGGAATCCGACCCGGAACCCTGGGGTGGGGGATCATCACGACGACCACGAGGTTGATACAATACACAAAGTACGGAATGTTTCTGCTGCTCGTATCCTGGGAAATAAATGCGTGCAGGTTCGCACTTAGCAAGAGCGACTACTCATGACAGGGCGGATTCGACGCCCGTAACTGCGAAGCGACAAGTTACCTCGCCACCGTTGGTGCTTCCTTCGCCCGCGTTCGCGTGGCATTTTAGCCTTCGTGAAACGCATCTCGGCACCCTTATCGTAGAATTCACCCGAAAATGCCGGCCACTCAAGATGGATGATTGTTGTTGAAGCACCAACCGGCGAGGTATTTGAGAAACGGAACACGGACCGTACGATCCGGAAAGGCATCTGTTTAACGAGCCTGGCGAGGCAAATCCTACGGCACTTCGCACTGTATTACTGCAATTTACAGGCTCCACATGAATGGAGCTGGCAAGAGGAACTACGCTGGAGCGTACTACGGCTTCCATAGCGGAAAACAGACGGATTATCACACCCGCGAGGTAATTGAATACAACACTCCGTGCACTACGCGAAAATAGTTGCGGTGAGAAACCACAATTTTCAGAACCGCGCTCTGGCGTGAATCGTGTAGGAGCGCTGTGAGTGACGAGGAGCAGACTAGAGTTTGTCTGAAGCTGGGTGGGTGTATGCATGATGCACACGGGCAGGCAGCACAGCACAGCCCCTGCGTTGTGTGTCTTCGTTTCGTCTCGCCTCGCCTCTCGTCGCGCCATTCGGTGGGTGTGGCATGCTGTGATTCGCCCACACAGCATCTCCGTGTCATACCCGCGATCTCCCTGTGCTGTCCCCTCTTTCATTCCCCCTCCCCCCCCATCGCTGCCCAGTGTCCATTCGCTGGAATTCTGTATCGTAGTTCCGCATGACCAGATTCGTCAGTCACTACACTCGAGATTGCTTTCCCAACATTTCCTAGCGAGTGTGACTGCATCGGGGCTGCAGCGAAACGAGAGGCTCTTGTTTTGGCGACGTCAGACTTGCAAACGCGGTACTGGAATCACGTGCTGCCGCGTGGAATGTGAATAAGGGACACGTGGAGGCGAATAGTTAGCTCAAGATAGCTTGGCGCGCAAGTCCCTTATAAGAAACCTTTTGTTCGTTGCGGGAAGGGTTTAAATCATCTATATACCTATAGTAAGAATATTTGTATACGTCTTACCAGCATATGGACTGAGAATCTGCTCTTTGTCTGAATGGATGTACTGTACTGTTCTAAGAGATACCCTTCCACCAGATAAACCTACTTCCTCTGCTGCAGTTATGGATACCTTCAATCATTAACATGGACACCCTGAAGTCTGTTAGATAGAAGCTCTGCACTCAGCTGCTACTAAATGTTGCAGGTTTGGCGTGAGTCAAACTCGATAGTATGATGGTTCACTTTTTGGCCATGGTAAAAGACGGTACTAAGATGATGAATCCTAAGATACTGGCCATTAAAGGAAGTTCGTCAGGTCGTTATCCATTGCAGTGGAACCCTCGAATCTGTCAAATGCAATCCTCTGGTACATGGAAGAAGGAACAGAATTGAGATGACGCTTTTCGAACACATAACCAAGCTCCAAAAGCCGCTTCACGAACTTGTGGTAGGCCGCAAGCAGCTAAATCTCAACAGGTTTCACGAGAAACGATGTATGAAGAAACATCAAGCTAACGCCACTGCAGCAGGCGGGAGAGGAGTTTTCATACAGACGGCATCACCAACATCGGGTGACATAGTCACGCAAACAAAAGCTTGAAGAAAATCGTAACGATGTTGGCAGCAATCAATGGCACTGCGAGAAGCCAAAGAATGTTTAGGAAGAGAAGAATTGTACGACAAACGACTGCAGAAGAAAACCATGGCAGTAATACAAATTAAATTGGCTACATGGCTCCAATGCTTGTGAATGTCCTTTCATACCCCGTAAATACTGAACCGCGTGTATCAGTCCGACCACTTGCACCTTGAGCGGCGCCGTTTGTCCATTCGAGAGTTGATGAAAACCTAACCCATCTGCAGACGGGAAAGCGAGCTTAGACCAGTAATAATCCCAAGCATCAGCCGAACGCTAGAGATGGATTACATGGTACAAGAAACCGCTGCTCGTTTAAAACAGCGAGAGAGTTGGCGAGCAGAAGCACAGCGTAGAGAAAGTCCCACATGACTGTCAACCTCGAAGGACAGCTAACCTCTATTTCGTAAGTATGTCTGTGTGATGCTGAAAATGGCTGGAACTCTACTGAATATGAGGTGGGTGGATATCAGACATCCTGAGGTCTGCCATTCCACCAGATGTGTTTGCACCAGATGTGTTTCCTGTGCAACCCATGGCGCGCAGTATGAAAGTGGATCTGGGATGGAACGCGGGAGAGTCTGACTTCTGGAAGGTGTAACCATCATTTGCAACATCAGCGAATTGCGCGTACTGCACCCAATTTTGTGTGTTACTGTCGTCAAAATTTATTCGCACAACTCGGCTACCCAAGTTTGGTGGCTGGATCACATCCATCCCAAATCTCTAAAGGTTTCTTTCTTTTACTCTCTCCAACTCAGGTCTTGAATCTGTAGTTCAGTAGGTTTCGCCTAACTCTCAGTGCCTTCGGGCTCGTGTCACCATGTCTCTCCGGCCGAATGCTCGCACGGAGGCGAGAAAGTCTGCTTACAAGCAAGCTGTTAACGCTGATGAGGCTCGCAGGCGTCGCGAGGACAATATGGTCGAGATCCGTAAGAGCAAGAGGGAGGAGAGCCTCCTGAAGAAGCGCAAGGAAGGAATGCAGGCTCAAGTAGAGCTGCCCAAAATTCCTGTCGCAACTGTCGAGAAGAAGGTGCGCTCTGTTCCGCTCCTACCGCTGTTCGCGTTTTCGTTATGTTCTGCGGTATTGTGAATGACTTGCCTGCTTCTGTGTTGTTAGTTGGAGAGCCTTCCGGCTATGGTACAAGGCGTATGGTCAGAAGATCCACCGGCTCAGTTGGAAGCAACGACGCAGTTTAGGAAGCTGCTTTCGATCGGTATGTTCCTTAAGCCCGTTGTGCCATCCAAGTTCCTTAGAACCTGTCTCGTGATCTGACGGCCGATCTCTTTGTTCACAGAACGTAGTCCGCCGATCGAAGAGGTCATAAAGGCTGGCGTTGTGCCCAGATTCACGCAGTTTTTGCAGAAGTATGACTTCCCTCAACTTCAGGTTAGTTTTCTAGATTGGATCTTGCATTTTACGCACAAATATTTCTTAATTCATCTGGTGTCTGACTTAATATTTTAATTTGCAGTTCGAAGCAGCGTGGGCTTTGACCAACATCGCTTCTGGTACCTCTGACCACACCCGCGTGGTCATCGAGCATGGGGCAGTCCCTATATTCGTTCAGCTTCTTAGCTCTCCCAGTGATGACGTCCGCGAGCAGGTTAGGTTCTAAAGAATTCAGTCATGGCAGTTGTTCTGAGTGTGCGTGGACACTGGCACTGACAAGCAAAGTCTGATTTGCAGGCTGTATGGGCACTCGGTAACATCGCAGGCGATTCGCCCAAGTGCCGGGATCTTGTTCTGAGCCACAACGCCATGGGACCGCTGCTTGCTCAGTTGAACGAAAACTCCAAGCTGTCAATGCTCCGGAATGCTACCTGGACGTTGTCGAACTTTTGCCGTGGAAAGCCCCAGCCTCCATTTGAGCAGGTATATGGCTTGGTTCTTCTCGTCCACCTATTTAACGTTTTGCTGGCGTTTAACATTTGTATTCTTTCTGTCTTGCAGTCGAAGCCCGCTTTGCCTGTCCTCGAACGCCTGATCCACTCTACGGATGAGGAGGTTTTGACTGATGCTTGCTGGGCGCTGTCCTATTTGTCCGACGGAACTAACGACAAGATTCAGGCTGTCATTGAGGCGAATGTTTGTCGTCGGTTGGTCGAGTTGCTCCTGTAAGTTAAACCCTGATCATTCTGGTTTTCTACGATTTCTACTTGTGAGAATTAACCGAGCTTTCTTTGGGGTTTCCAGGCACCCATCGCCATCTGTTTTGATCCCTGCTCTTCGAACGGTTGGCAACATTGTCACAGGAGATGATCATCAGACGCAGGTACGGGTTGACGGAATTCTATGGCCGAAATCTTGTAAGTAGGTTTGCGTTTTAACTCATCCCTGTTTGCTTTCAGGTCATTATCGAGAACCAAGTGCTGCCATGCCTGCTTGCCTTGCTCACAACAAATCACAAGAAAAGCATCAAGAAGGAAGCGTGCTGGACAATATCTAACATCACTGCTGGCAACAAGGAACAGATTCAGGTAACGATCGCCCCGTTTATCCTCCACTTCCGCTTTCGCTGCTTCCGTTCTAATCAAGAATGTGTCTTTTTGTATGTGTAAGAAACTTACGCTCTTTGTTCTCATCTTCGTTCAGGCTGTTATTGATGCCAACATCATTCCTCCATTGAAGCACCTGCTGGAGACTGCTGAATTTGATATCAAGAAGGAAGCGGCATGGGCTATTTCTAATGCTACTTCTGGTGGCACTCATGATCAGATCAGGTATGGCATTGAATGATTCAACGCCATTGCGGTTGTCTGTGCTTAGTTTCTCACTTCAATGTTTGTGCCCTTTCCAGGTACCTCGTGTCCCAGGGCTGCATTAAACCACTGTGCGATCTGCTGCTCACTTCTGATGCAAGGATTGTAACTGTTGCGCTGGAAGGTCTGGAGAACATTCTGAAGGTTGGAGAGGCAGACAAGGAGCTGGGTCAGACTGGAGGTGTGAACCTTTATGCGCAGTACATTGATGAGGCTGAGGGGCTGGAGAAGATAGAGAATCTGCAGACTCATCAGAACAATGACATCTACGAGAAGGCGGTGAAGATTTTGGAGACCTACTTTGGGCTCGATGAGGATGAGGACCAACAACTTGCGCCTCAAGTTGACGCCAACCAGCAAACCTATGCTTTTGGAGAAAGCCAGCCTATGGCTCCCTCTGGTGGATTCAACTTTGGTTGAGTCGTTTTTACTGAAGTAAGTTATGTCTACTGGGTTCGTGATCAGTTATTGTAGGTGATTTACCGCATGACAACAGTGTGCGTGCCTCTGTCATCCTTTTGTGGATTTCTTGATGCAGGATTGGGGTTGAAGAATGGGTGGAATCATATGGATTTCCTGGTTCTGGACATCATGGAACACCAGCAGTATCTCCCTACCCTTGAACGTGTCTTAGCTTTCTGTCTTGACTGTAGGTGCATTATTTGCACAAATCTTGGTCTCTTGAGTCTTCTCTTTGTGACCACTGGTTAGAGTTAGCAGTCAAGTTATTCAACCATTTTGCACATCATCTCATGCTAGATTAACTTCTTTTGCCAATGTATGAATGCAATTCTGAGATAACATGAGAAATCAACTACGGTTTGAAGGTAAATTGCCACATCTGTTAGCTTGAATGTTAAGTAGTTTGTACAGCGCAATTTTGTTCCTTGTATCCAATGAGTTGTGATGCGTCTGTTTCTCTGAACCAGAGAGAGCTGTGGACATGCAAGAATCTGACGATGGAGACGTGTTTGAAACTCCACGTGGCACACTCACCCCAACCTTGTATTGTATCCCTCCATGCTCGAACCGCATAAAATCCAACTCAACAAATGAATGTTGGACTTTCTTTCGAACCGCATGTCAACAAAGTTAACAATAAAATTGAGCAGGATGAGCAAATACAACCAACTAGTCTCCTACGTTGAGCTCTCTGACTCATGTAATTGTTCATTCCTGCTGCTGAGAGCTTTCCACACTGCAGTCTCTCACCAGTCCAGCTCGTCACGCTGGCGTCCGCCGCCTCCCTGGCCTCTTTCGCCACTCGTGGGCTGTTCTCCGCCACAGCGCGCAACCGTCGTTCTTCCTCTCTGTCCAGAAGCCGTGATTGGGGCGAGTCCAGGGTATCCTTCTTCCACCAGCGCTTCCACTCGCATCGCCTCACCATGGCGTCCGCCCAGCAGTACAGCACGGAGGAGATTCACAAGATGTCGGACCAGGAGAAGAAGGTAAAACCGGAATGGCCCTTCAGTCTTTGCATCAACCGTTTTTGTTTTTTCGTTCTAATTCGCCCTCCGAAGATTTTCTCGTTTCTGTGCCACTTTCAAACCGGTTTCTGATGTGACGCTGCTGTGCCGTGATGTGCAGGATTTGGAGCGTCACGTGCAGGAAGGGGAGACGGTGGTGAAGGGTGGCACTGGAGGCAAGTCACTGGAGGCCCAGCTTAACCTGGCTGAAGGTAAACTCCGCAATCGCGAATCCGGTCTAGTACCATCTATACAAAACCGCCCACTGACGGCCCGTTAGTGGAGGTGAAATCTCCGCCACTCGTCTGTCCCGCTGAATTGCTCGAGCAAGTTTTGGTGAGCAGGAAGCACCGCTGCTCCACGACCTTCTTATGTTCACACCTGTCTTACTTCCATTCGTCCTTTCGCATCGCTGTTTCACGGATGGCTCACGTCGTGCGTGCGTGCGCGAGTGCGTGAGCAGGGCGCCACAAGGGGGGCGAGAGGGGAGGGCAGGCGCGCGCGGAACAGATCGGCAGCGAGGGATACCAGGAGATGGGGCGCAAGGGCGGGCTATCTACCACGGAGCAATCCGGCGGAGAGGCTGCTGCTGAGAAGGGTATTGACATTGACGAGTCTAAGTACCGCACTACTAAGTAGTGCTGTTCAATGGGTTCCATGCGAAGCAGCCCTTTTTTTTTTTCTGTGATGTAGTTGTGCTCAGGTGGGCTCGTTGAGATGGGTTGCTCTTGCTGGGCAGTTCAAGGGGGGGGATTGATACATTGGATTGATGGAATGGAGGCGACACGACGGCAGACTCGTTGGTTGTGAACTGAGAGTCTGCCCACTAGTGGCTCCCTGGTGTTGCTCTGTATGGATTCAGTACTAGTACATATAATACAGTGTTTTGAATAATTTGGTCTGTAACAGAGTGTTCACTCTTTCGTCCGCCACTTGAGCAGGGCATGGGTCGCATGAGGGGGGCCACTGTTCTGGAGGGGGGACGCAATCCGCAGCAGCAAAGCACCAGTACTCTTACGAGGAAGTGAACAAGATGCCTGCAGAAGAGCGCAAGGTGAGCTGCTTCTGCTTCAGGCCCAGTACTTGTAGATGCTTGTGGATAGTACTACAACTCCTCTGATGATCCCTCAAACCATGTCTTGTTCCGCATCCTTGCCTTGTGTGAGTGCTTTGTTTGAGTTTCCAACTCTTATTCCACCCTTCCACACAATACTCTTTGCACTGCTGTGCTGACTCAACACTTGTTGTCTCACCATCTTGCTCTCCTGTGCTGCGTGCCTGGTTGGTGATTCAGGAGTTGGAGAAGCGTGCAGAGGCAGGAGAGACAGTGGTGAAGGGGGGAACAGGGGGCAAGTCCCTTGATGCTCAGCTGCACCTGGCTGAAGGTATGATCATGACTCGTGACAGATGACATGCTTCCTGTTCAGCTTGTTACTCGCGGGGTTTTGGGCAGCCAGAATAATTGGCTGCTGGCGAGCAAGCTGCTGAAGCTGCTGCTCATACCACCTTGCTGCTAACTCCTATGGGGTCATTTGCTGTTGGCCCTGCAGGACGTCATCGTGGCGGGGAGAGTCGCAGGCACAGGTAGATGGCACATGTGAATCGCACATATAGATCATATCCACCCGCCTGCTGCGCCTAGATTCCTCTCATCCTCTCGGTGCTTCGGCGCCTGCTGCCGTGGCCATGCCTCAACACAGTTTGCTCTGATGTTGCCGAGTGTAAATAGTTGGCAGCAGCTAAAAATACCAGGGTAGGATGTTAGAGCCAGATGAATGGGAAACTAAGTGAAGTTGTTTTGTTCAGTTTTGAAACATGAACCTGTGTCATAATTCTGTGTAGGAGAAGAAAATGAGAGAAAAACAGCTACCTAACTGGACAATGCGCATGCAGACACTTGCACCTCCGTCTGCCGCCACGCTCCCATGCTTTTGAGGATGCAGCAGTTGGAGTAAGGAAAGAGCGGACAGTACCTGGATTGTCGTGCATACGCTGCCATTCCACCCTGAGCGCGCTGTACTGGCGCACTGCAGGAGCGGCGAGGGAGGAACAACAGAAAGGGATGGTAAAAAGGTGTGACAAACAAGGAGGGGGGAAGAAGGCTAGGGAGGGAAAATGAATGTTATGAAAAATGGCAAAAATAGGGCATGACTGCTGCTCTCCTCCCCGACCCTCCTGGAGGGCGGTGCAGGCTTGTCAGCAGCATGATGCGGTATGGACGTCGTACCGAAACCGAAACACATTCGACGCTTCGGCCTAGGCTGCCCGTGTTTTTGCTGGCAGCGATAGCGGTGGAATGATGTTTTAGGCATGCTGCTCTGTACCGCGCAGCATGCGGCCGAGCGTGAATATAACGACCCTCGTTGAGGTCGTACTACTACCTCGGAACAGACTCGGAATCTCGCCACGCTACGACTAAGACATTTCGCCGGCCGGCAGCTTCTCTCGCAGCGGGCTGGAGCAGCTTCTTTCGAAGGCGAGTCTACGATTCACCTCCTCCCCGCGGCATTCGAAATGCCGCGCAAGGTGCCGATTCTGGAACGCTGGAATGCGAATGGGATGGGAACTACCACTTGCAGCGCCGCGCAGAATGCGCTCCAATGTCGTATCCATCCACCCCTAGCTAGTCTCCCCCAGAATGCGCTCATACCCCCAGCCTCCGCACTGCCCGCGCACGTCCTCCGCTCGTGCGGATGCGCGCCACCTTTTCCGCGTGCAGCAGCCACCAGAAGCCGGCAACCAATACAAGGGCGGACCCAGCACGCAGGACCTGGAGGAATGTGCGCTGTCGATCGGGGAACCGGCCGGGACTGACGGCAAGGAGAGGTTATTTCAGGAACGGCCAGGATCTGGAACTTGGATCCTGAAGTGATAAATCTTGAGCTGCTGTGGATGGCCCCAGGCGTGTTCTGTGTTCGACAAGTGCTAATTCGGTTTGCATTTGTTGTTCCTACTTCCATGGATTTGACAAAACAATATGTGCCATGATAACTTGAATCTAAATACAAAAACACGATGTTTGTGATAAATTAGCAGAACAACGGGCTTCACTCAAGTGGTGTTCGAATTTTGATAAGAAACAGATACATAAAACACAGAAAGGGAACAGAACAACGCAGGAAAAGTGAGTGGAGATGGAACGAAAAGGGGGGTGATAAAGGAGTGAAAGTACAGCCGCAATCTGACACTGGAAGACCACTTTGAATGACCTCAATGAGCCCCAACAAGACACCCCATCTAGATTTCTCGAAAAAAACAATGAACCACATAAGAGTAAGGTGGTGGGTTGACATGTATTGCTTCTAAATTGTATCGATTGATTAAGCTGTAACACACAGACAGTCACCTTGGCATCGTGAGGTAGCCCATCACCTGGATGGAGTAATGGCGTCGCGTCACAGAATGGCAGACAAGTAATTATGTGGCTCTCGATGGAGTTCCAGGAGCATCCGAAATATCACTGTTAGCGTAGACAACACACTGTCGGAGTGGAGATTTGCAATCCTCGATTTGTGGTCGGAAAGCTGCTGCCTCACACATGTCGTACTCATTGTTATCCAGAGAGTTCAAAATTTTGACCACCAATTTGTCCATGATCGGTACAGCATTCAACCACCTGTGATTGTGTTCCATATTGTTTGGAAAATCTGAGGCTTTGCGTGGTTGATATGGTACGCATGTCTTGGAATTGGATGCCAATGATGGCAGGCTCTTCCTGAAAGCGGAAGAAGCACAAGTTATGGATTGATTTAGAACTTAGCCAACGGTTCCTTGTCGCTTCCGCTAACATTTATTTATCGTTTATAGTATGCCCCTGCCTATGTGGCGTGCAACCACATCATACTCCACTAAGTAATCTCGCACGAAACGACGGTCAGTTTAACTTTTAAATCCTTAAAGAACCACACGCCCGGTCTCCACCAAAAGAAATGCTTTAGCAAGCTAAACCGCTGGGGTTTTGAAATTTCCAACGCCCCAGGAGATGTCGCACATATGTACACAAGAATGGCCACTGTGGTTGGCTTCCAGCCTCCACACTGTGCATTTCGGTCCTAATGCCTTGTCTCTATTGCGAAAGGGTCGAAAACCACTGTCAGGGCCTCATGAGTGGGACAGACAGGTAGTTTTGGGGGGCTGATAATGATGCCTTTCGGGGAGGATTGTTTATGAATCACTTTGTGCATTGACAGCTACTTGTTGGCTGGCATTCTTCGCTACACTTTTCTACTGCCAACATATTTAACAAAAGGTGAAATTTACACAATAACCAGCTCGGTTCAGTTGATTCATGTATTGACTGGTACAGCCAGGCAATTGGAATGCAGCTCCTTTCCAGCCAGACCGGGAAAGGGGAAACCGCGAGGCAGCGGCAGCCACATCGAATGCCCACAAAAAGACGCGCTTCGGGAATTCTGCCTGTCTCTGCCAATGCCAACCAATTTCGAAAATTTCATCGCGCAGAAACCGCTTCCCCTCCTCCCCACAGAGTCCCTCCCCTTGCTCTTGTGCTGTCGTCATCTCCTCCCACAGATATGGCCCACCCTCCACCACCCTCCAGCATCCCTTCTGCTGCTATTTTCTGCGCTCCAATGCTATTTTGTGCGTCTGAATCCGTTGTCCACTCACACTGCACCTAGCCACAGCAGCGTTTACACTGTGTTCCCTGCTGTCTGCCCTCGCCTCTTGTTCACTTCACATCCTCTGCTAGCTCCACTTACCGCGCAACCCACAGAAAAATCTGGACAATCCGAAGCTCCAACCCGCCTCTTCGTCCCATTCAGCTCTGTACGACGAAGCCGCGCATTCGTTGAAATCAACCAGCTTTATTTTTCCACACGACAGCTCACTGCTGAGACTAGCAACCACTGCACCGGTGGCGTGGTCGGGTTTTTACTCTCTTCGGCGTCACCATGGAGAGCGGCTCGCTCCACGCCATTATATCATCTCCCACTCTCGTGATGTCTCCGCCCATTCCCACCAAGGCCTCGGCAGTCTCCCTCGCGGCAAATCACCACCATCGCTCCGCTTCCGGCGCTCCTAACGCGAAGCGCCAGCGCTGCTCGGATGGAAGCGTCGCTGCGGATGCGTCGCCGGAGAAGGCGGCGGATTTGTCGCGACCGAAGTCGTGCTTTATAATGCTCGAGGAGGACGGGGACGATGAGATAACTGCTGCGGATATTGCGTGGTGCGACGACGGAAGCTACGTGGAAATAGACACTGACGCGCTTTTCGCACTTGACGAAGAACCGTCGGCAAAGACTCGGAGCGCTCACGACAGCGAGCAGCTGTCGGATGAGCTGTCTCAGGAGCACCGCGGAGCGTCGAATGCGTCGCACGCGTCGCATGAGCGGCAGGGGAATGGCGGGAGCGGCAGCAGCTGCGAGAGCGGCGAGACGTTGAGCGAGAAGCAGAACAAGAGCGGCGAGGAGGGATCCGCGAAAAGGACGAGCAAGGAAGGGCGCAGCAAACGCAAAGTCAAGGTGAGGGAAACCGGAGCCATTAGTAAGGAAGTAAGGTCTAGAGCATCCAATCATTTGAGCAGGAACAAGAACACTTTTGATCAGACGTCCATTCTTTCGATCCTCAACTTGCCCCCATGTTTCACATCGGGCTGACGAGACCCCGTCACTCCAACATCGCATTCATACCGCCACGACCACAATGCCCCGCGCCTAACCTTCTCACCACCATTCCCCCTCCCTTCCGTGCTCTGTGTCTTCCCTCCCCTGGCCTCGCATCACCTGCGGCTCGGGAATGGCAGGTCGACTGGACTCCTTCCCTGCATCGCAAGTTCGTGCAGGCCGTCGAGGCGCTCGGCGTCGAGCGCGCGATCCCGTCGCGCATTCTCGAGCTCATGGGCGACGCGGCTCTCACGCGCCACAACATCGCCAGCCACCTCCAGAAGTACCGCTCGCACCGCCGCCACCTGCTCGCCAAGGAGGCGGAAGCCGCCACCCTGCACGCGCGCGCGCCGGCGCACGCGCCGCCACCCGACCCCAGCTCCTGGACTCCACTCCGCCGAGACGGCACCGCGTGGGTGCCCGCGAGCGTCGCGTCGAGCGTTCTCAGTCCGCGGAGTTCCTCCGCTTCCGCCGGCGCGTCCGCTTGCGCGGCATCCGCCATCGCCGCGGGCTCGTCCGCCAGCGGCGCGGCCAGCGCGGCGGGTTCCGCTTCGGCAGCCGCGACGTCGCCAGTCGGGATTCCAGCTGCGCAGACGGCGGTGGGGATTCCTCCTGCGCACGCGGGCGCAATGGCGGCGGGGCACGCGGGTATAATGTCCCCGCGAGGCAACGTAGCTGTGGGATTCCCGCCGACGTTCCCCCAGTCCTCCGCCGCGCACGCGGGAATGCCCGCGCACCTCGCTGGCGCGGGGGTTGGCGGAACGGCCTCCGGAATGCTCCCTGGCGGAGG